GTTTTTGCCCTCTGTTTGCCTTGGACAGGAACGAGTGGCCAGAAGACTTGGGGCGTGTAGGCGGACTAGTATGTCGAGTCACCAAGCTCACACGTAGCCAATGTTGCTGTTCTGGGTTGCCACTTGGCTGAGAACATGGACGTGTGCGGCCAGCGGAAACCCTAAGCCCTAAAGCGATGTGTGGGCCAGCGTGTGTGGGCCACCAGAAGCCTTAAACCCTAAAGTGATATGAGCCACGGACAAAACCTACGTCGACCACTTTATCAAGAGGGGTTGAATTATATGTCCAAACTGCACGATACCCTGTAGAACGATAGGGACCCCCCCCAAAACCGATAACCCTCAAGTTGCGATTTTCGAGCTGGAGCTGTGGACGTGCACGTTGCGTACTAGACTTGTGCTGCGTAGTTGCGATTTTCGAGCTGGAGCTGCGGAAGTGTACTTCGCGTACTAGACTTGCACTACAAAGTTGCGATTTTTCGAGCTGGAGCTGCGGAAGTGCACGTTGCGTACTATACTTGTGCTACATGGTTGCGATTTTCGAGCTGGAGCTGCGGAAGTGTACTTCGCGTACTAGACTTGTACTACAAAGACCAGACTCGACCGAAATCGTCCAAAATCCTCAAAATCGTCCAAAATCGACCGGCTGAATTCGACCAAACTCAACCAAAATCGACCAAACTCGACCAAACTCGAACAAATTCGACCAAACTCGAGCAAAATCCAACCAAAATCGACCAAATTCGACCAAACTGGACCAAACCCGACCGAGTTTGTCGGATTGGGCAGTCCAGTCGGAAAATTCTTGAAATTTTCCGGTTGAAATCTCTAGGCTGAATTTGAAATTTTCCGGTTGAATTCTCTAGGCTGAATTTGGTCAAATTTGGACCAATGCGCTCGACCAAAGTCGACCATACGTCTGGGCGAGTCGAAAGCGAATATCGATAGGCGGACTTGGCCTCCTCGCAGTCGGAGCTGGGCTCGGCGACCGGATACTTCGAGGAATCGGATCGTTTCGGGGGTGTCTCAGAACAGGGACCGCGTCCTTTAGAGAGGGGCCCTTTTTGGCAGCTTAGGGTGGAAACCGAGAGGAAGCCACGAAAAAAAGTAGGAGTTCCCCCACTTTAAGACAAATATATAGATATATATATATATTATACTTTTGAGGTTGACCAGAATATGACACATTTGAAGATCGAGTTTTTGTTGTACTCGGGGGTTGGTTCAAAAAGGGGTGCCCTTTTTCCCATGGATATCTACTGGAGGTCCGGGCAAACCATGCAAATTCCGATGTAACGAGCGGATCCCAAAGGCTTCATTCCCCTTTCCCCTTTTGATCCCCTGAGAAAAACCAACCAGCCAGGGATATCTTTTTGTCACAGAGCCAGGGTTACCACTTAGCCTTCAGACCCAAACATGTGAGCCGCCTGGAAACTGCCAGCTTTCAGAACACATCGGGCTCCAATTGACCCACCCCCACGGAAATGACATCGCCCCCACGGAAATGACATCGCCCTTGGCTTGAGGAGCTGAAGAAGCAGTGTCTCTCCCCCGAGGCGGAGGCGGCCAAAGCGGAGGCGCATCGCCAGGAGGCGCAGTTGACTGCGAGCGCGTCGACCGCTTGCCGTGTTTGTTTTTCAGAGACTGTCTTTGGGCGTGTCTTTTTCGAGGGTATCCTTTAGATGTGCCAAAATAGGGCGTGTCTACTTGGGTGGTTTGGGGGGGTCTTAAAAAGAATGAGGCTTGCCTCTTTTTATGGCACCAACACGGATTATAAACCCTTTCGGCCTTATTTGGCCTTAAGAAGTCTTTCATCCCCTAACCCTTTGGTGACTCGAGGTTGTTATTCCCTCTTAAAGAGAGGGACATCCTGAACCTCAGTTCTTGGAGTCTTTCGAAGTGTTTTGGGCTTGGCCAACAGAAACAGCTCGAGGGTCACAACATGGACTAGGTTCTTTTAACCCTGCCGATGGAACTTCTCTCTCTAGGTAGTATAAGGGTTGAGCTCGTATCTCTCATAAAACGAGTGAGCCTTATGAGCGGTTCATGTTTTGGCTCAGGTCCACAGCCCTTGCCCGAACTTCTCGGCCGACACCCTGCCTTCATTCCTTCAAGACGCGGCCTTAGGGGAGTTATTTGGAAAGCCAAATTTGGGAGTTAATCAATATTCCTGGCCCCCAATGATGGGGAACTTTTCTGTAAAGGACTTTTTGATCAGCCCCCCTCCAAAGGCAATTGAGAAAGACAACCCGCCAACAAGCAAATGGGTTTCTCATCCAAAACCCCACGCTCAGGGACCCTAAAATTCCTCGGCCCCGACCAAATACCCAGTAACTGAGGGACCCATGCGGGTTTGGGTCTTGCGGGTAAGGGGGTCTGGCGTCGGGTCCCTGATATGTGAGGAGCGTCCACAATTGACCATTTTGACAAGGTTTCGTTAAAACCAAAAGTCAATGAGCCTCAGAAAGGCTCTAAGGTTCCGTCAAGCCCCATCCAAGTCCACTTCCCGAAGCAGTCTCGTTTTGCAGCGGTGTGTCTGAAGTCAGGGAAGGCTTGGACTAGCAGTCTGTTTTGTTTGGGAGAAGCCCTTGAGCCCTTGAAGGGGATCCTGGCTTTTTCGCGGCCACCTGGCAAAAAACCTTGCGGTTAGCCTTTTTTTTTTGCCCGGAAGCACTGCATCGGCAGGGGCTGGCCAATTTTGATTACTGGCTGGTACTGCAGGCCAGCAGGTTGCCTGGGGAAGAGCCAGATGACAAGGCCCTTGGGGACAGTTTGCCTTGCCTTCGCTTCTGGACGGGTGCATGTGGATTGCTCGGGTAGATGCGGTCAGTGGGTCAGATGGGATGTGGAGAGCCCAGGAAGAACAGTTGGGAAATGTGGCTGGGAGCAAGATAGAGGTGCAGGCAACAACAGTGTCAGGTTTCTTTTCGCTAGTCTTACACAAGAGCCAGTCGACCGCTGCAGGCGGTAGACGGAAGAGCAGCGGACGGTGCGCCTGCTATGGCCGAAAGCCAGGCTAGCTTGAATATGCACTTCCGTTCTTGCGCAGATCCGGAAGCATATTCCGACACAGTCCCTAGAGCAAGCAGGAGCCGGCATGCGAGCTAGCTGACCTGGAGACGCTGTACAGGCATCTATGGCGCCTGGCTCCACAGGCCCAGCCATGTCAAGCGGGCAAGATTGCGTGGTGTTGGCCGGGGTTCTTGCTTGCAGGATGGCTTCCTATCCGCGTCAGATGCATGTTCGGAAGAGGCGGGTTGCGGAGAGCAGAGAGACTTCAAGTAACATTTGCCGCCGCCCGTGTCGGCCAGGAGTTCTGCCATCGCCTGACGCGAAGCTTGCAGGGACGGTTCCAGCTGGAATGCCCTGACTGCCTTTTGCGCGGGGTATGGCACGCTTTGCAGTTTGGAAGTGCAAGCGATTCTGAGCGCTGGCTCAAGGCCTGGGCCTTGGTCTGCATGTAATGGCCTGCGTCGAGCGCGCTGCAACTGCAGGTGCTGTTCGGCCCAGCTGCCAGCATCGACGAAGAGGAGGCGAGGTGGATGGACCCAAGTCGCGGGAGCATGTGTGACTTGCGCGCGGCTCGGAGGCGAGCAGGGCCCGTCAGCCAGAAAGCCAGCAAGACAAGGCCGGACGTGGGCTGCGCATCTTGCGCTAGCAGGCAAGCCTGGGGCATATTCGGCTGTTGCAGCAGCAGTGCATTGTTGTTTTTAGGCGGCGGAGGCGGAGAGCCGTGCAGAGTTCAAGGCCTTCTCCGCGGAGTCCAAGCCCCTGGGCTAGCAAAGGGGTCGATGTGGCGACCGGTGCGAAGACTGGCCGTCTTGGCCGTGTTTGTAAGAAGAAAGCGCGTGAATTTGGGGGGGGTAGCCTATTTTGTCACATACCCATATGTCCAGAAATTTCTCCATTGGGAACCACACAGAAGGAAGACTATGAGAAACCCAGAAGCGGGGGTGGACAAGGGTCTATTTGCAACCACTTGTTTTTGGTTTTGAGGATTTGACTCTGAAGTGTCCATCGCACGGGTTTTGCGGTCGCCCAGTACTGTAGCGCCCCCGACCAATCAGAAGGTTTCTGCGGAGCCGGCGGCGGTTTGGGGCCTTTGCTTGCTTTTCCCTTAATCTCATCGCTAAACTCGCCAACCTCTTCTTTCGGGTTTGCCCGGGTCACTGAGCAAGCGGGTGCAAACATCACCTTGTAACTCTGGGTTTTTCCGCTGGGACGGGGGGCGTTTTTTCGCGATCATCCAGTCAGAGCCGTTTTAAAACAACGGCCCCGCGTTCGTTAGGACGGACATGGCCAGCAAGCAGAGCGACGCGGCCCACTTGGAGGAGAAGAAAGAGCTGCAGGCCAAGGCCTTGGCACAGAAGCAGGCGGACCTTCGCTCGCTTCCGTTGAGAGAAAAGCCGCCGCGTGGTTCGGCGCGTTTGATCGGGGCGTTTGGGGAACCTCGGATTGAGAAGCCCTTGAACTGGAAGGGGAACTCACAAAAAAAAACGCCGGTAAGATTGGAAAAGGATGCAGAAGCCGGGCAGACCTTCAATCAGGAGACATCCGTCGGGATCGGAGTCAAGTTTTCTCGGGGTCCGCAATGTGGTAGGGATCTAAGCTAGGGGTTCAATTGTTAATATCCTTTGGAATCAAATGGGGTTTCATGTTTGTCACCTGGTGCGCAGTCGGTTTTGTCCGTCAGTGAGTCAGGGGTGCGTCCCCCCCAAAAGGTGATCGAGCGGAGGTGTTCCCCCAAACGCTAAAATCCAGCCCAAAGTGGAGGTGTACTTCCCCCCCAAAAGTGATTTGAATAGAGGGGTCGCTCCCATTTCTGACCTTGGGTTTGTCTCCAAACAGCGCGCCGGCCATTTTGGGTGGTGGTTTGCTCAAAAAAAGCCAAGCATGGTGGTTTAAGAAGACGCCAACCTCAAAACAGGGAACCCCTCCAAGGCACGCAATGGGGTCAATCCAACGGCACGCCTGGGCGAGTCGAAAGCGAATATCGATAGGCGGACTTGGCCTCCTCGCAGTCGGAGCTGGGCTCGGCGACCGGATACTTCGAGGAATCGGATCGTTTCGGGGGTGTCTCAGAACAGGGACCGCGTCCTTTAAAGAGGGGCCCTTTTTGGCAGCTTAGGGTGGAAACCAAGAGGAAGCCACGAAAAAAAGTAGGAGTTCCCCCACTTTAAGACAAACATATATATATATCTATATATATATTACTTTTGAGGTTGACCAGAATATGACACATTTGAAGATCGAGTTTTTGTTGTACTCGGGGGTTGGTTCAAAAAGGGGTGCCCTTTTTCCCATGGATATCTACTGGAGGTCCGGGCACAAAACCATGCAAATTTCCGATTTAACGACGATCCCAAAGGCTTCATTCACCCATTCCCCCTTTTGACCCCTGAGAAAAAACCACCTCCCAGGGGATATCTTTTTGTCACAGAGCCAGGGTTACCACGTAGCCTTCAGACCCAAACATGTGAGCCGCCTGGAAACTGCCAGCTTTCAGAACACATCGGGCTCCAAATGACCCACCCCCACGGAAATGACATCGCCCCCACGGAAATGACATCGCCCTTGGCTTGAGGAGCTGAAGAAGCAGTGTCTCTCCCCCGAGGCGGAGGCGGCCAAAGCGGAGGCGCATCGCCAGGAGGCGCAGTTGACTGCGAGCGCGTCGACCGCTTGCCGTGTTTGTTTTTCAGAGACTGTCTTTGGGCGTGTCTTTTTCGAGGGTATCCTTTAGATGTGCCAAAATAGGGCGTGTCTACTTGGGTGGTTTGGGGGGTTTTAAAGAGAATGAGGCTTGCCTCTTTTTATGGCACCAACACGGATTATAAACCCTTTCGCCTTTAATTGGCCTTAAAAATCTCTCATCCCCTAACCCTTTGGTGACTCGAGGTCGTTATTCCCTCTTAAAGAGAGGGACATCCTGAGCCTCAGTTCTTGGAGTCTTTCGAAGTGTTTTGGGCTTGGCCAACAGAAACAGCTCGAGGGTCACAACATGGACTAGGTTCTTTTAACCCTGCCGATGGAACTTCTCTCTCTAGGTAGTATAAGGGTTGAGCTCGTATCTCTCATAAAACGAGTGAGCCTTATGAGCGGTTCATGTTTTGGCTCAGGTCCACAGCCCTTGCCCGAACTTCTCTCATTCCTTCAAGACACGGCCTTAGGGGAGTTATTTGGAAAGCCAAATTTGGGAATTAATCAATATTCGTGGGTCATTTGGAGCCCGATGTGTTCTGAAAGCTGGCAGTTTCCAGGCGGCTCACATGTTTGGGTCTGAAGGCTACGTGGTAACCCTGGCTCTGTGACAAAAAGATATCCCTGGCTGGTTGGTTTTTCTCAGGGGATCAAAAGGGGAAAGGGGAATGAAGCCTTTGCTCATTCCTTCAAGACACGGCCTTAGGGGAGTTATTTGGAAAGCCAAATTTGGGAATTAATCAATATTCCTGGCCCCCAATGATGGGGAACTTTTCTGCAGAGGACCTTTTGATCTGCCCCCATTCCCTCCAAAGGCAATTGAGAAAGACAACCCGCCAACAAGCAAATGGGTTTCTCATCCAAAACCCCACGCATAGGGACCCTAAAATTCCCCGGCCCCGACCAAATACCAGTAACTGAGGGACCCATGCGGGTTTGGGTCTTGCGGGTAAGGGGGTCTGGCGTCTGGCGTCGGGTCCCTGATATGTGAGGAGCGTCCACAATTGGCCATTTTGACAAGGTTTCGTTAAAACCAAAAGTCAATGAGGCCTACCCATTTTCAGGGAGCTCGCAAGACATCCCGTGGGGTGAACATTCTGCACCGATCTTGCGAGGTCGAGGGATTCCACATGGCCCTCACAAAGGCTCTAAGGTTCCGTCAAGCCCCATCCAAGTCCACTTACCGAAGCAGTCTCGTTTTGCAGCGGGGTGTCTGAAGTTAGAGAAGGCTTGGATTAGCAGTCTGTTTTGTTTGGGAGAAGCCCTTGAGCCCTTGAAGGGGATCCTGGCTTTTTTGCGGCTACCTGGCAAAAAACCTTGCGGTTAGCCTTTTTTTTTTTTTGCCCGGAAGCACTGCATCGGCAGGGGCTGGCCCATTTTGATTACTGGCTGGTACTGCAGGCCAGCAGGTTGCCTGGGGAAGAGCCAGATGACAAGGCCCTTGGGGTGGAGAGCCCAGGAAGAACAGTTGGGAAATGTGGCTGGGAGCAAGATACTCAGCAAGATAGAGGTGCAGGCAACAACAGTGTCAGGTTTCTTTTCGCTAGTCTTACACAAGAGCCAGTCGACCGCTGCAGGCGGTAGACGGAAGAGCAGCGGACGGTGCGCCTGCTATGGCCGAAAGCCAGGCTAGCTTGAATATGCACTTCCGTTCTTGCGCAGATCCTCCAGCATATTCCGACACAGTCCCTAGAGCAAGCAGGAGCCGGCATGCGAGCTAGCTGACCTGGAGACGCTGTACAGGCATCTATGGCGCCTGGCTCCACAGGCCCAGCCATGTCAAGCGGGCAAGATTGCGTGGTGTTGGCCGGGGTTCTTGCTTGCAGGATGGCTTCCTATCCGCGTCAGATGCATGTTCGGAAGAGGCGGGTTGCGGAGAGCAGAGAGACTTCAAGTAACATTTGCCGCCGCCCATGTCGGCCAGGAGTTCTGCCATCGCCTGACGCGAAGCTTGCAGGGACGGTTCCAGCTGGAATGCCCTGACTGCCTTTTGCGCGGGGTATGGCACGCTTTGCAGTTTGGAAGTGCAAGCGAATCTGAGCGCTGGCTCAAGGCCTGAGCCTTGGTCTGCATGTAATGGCCTGCGTCGAGCGCGCTGCAACTGCAGGTGCTGTTCGGCCCAGCTGTGGCTTCCTCTTTGTGTCATTCTAAGGTGGAATGGACCCGAATTCTAACATCTTCCCACCTCTTCCTTTGCCGATCTCAGCTCTATGCCCCTTCAGCCAGAAAGCCTGCAAGACTAGCCGGTCGTGGTCTGCGCATCTTGCGCTAGCAGGCAAGCCTGGGGCATATTCGGCGTTTGCAGGCACAGTGCATTGTATGTTTTTTTAGGCGGCGGAGGCGGAAAAAGGGGGAAGGGGAAGCCCGTGCAGAGTTCAAGGCCTTTATCTCCGCGGAGTCCAAGCCCCCTGGCTACCTAAAGGGTCGATGGTTCACCGTGCGAGACTTGTCCCGTGGTGGCCGTGTTTGTAAGAAGAAAACACCCTTGAATTTGGGGGGGGGTAGCTATTTTTGAGACATACCCCTCTAGCTTCGAGATTGGGGTCCACAATTTTAACCACACAGTAGGAAGACTATGAGAAGCCCAGAAAGCGGGGTTGTGGACAAGGGACTATTGCACCACTTGTTTTGGTTAGGATGATTTGACTCTGAGAGTGTCCATCGCACGGGATTTTGCGGTCCGCCCAGACTGTAGCGCCCCACCAATCACAAGGTATCTTGCGGAGCCGACGGCGGTTTTGGGGCCTTGCTTCTTTTTCCCTAAAATCTCATAGAATAAGAGTACCAACCTCTTTTTTCGGGTTTGCCCGGGTCACTGAGCAAGCGGGTGCAAACATCACCTTGTAACTCTGGGTTTTTCCGCTGGGACGGGGGGCGTTTTTTCGCGATCATCCAGTCAGAGCCGTTTTTTAAGAAAAAAAGGCCCCGCGTTCGTTAGGACGGACATGGCCAGCAAGCAGAGCGACGCGGCCCACTTGGAGGAGAAGAAAGAGCTGCAGGCCAAGGCCTTGGCACAGAAGCAGGCGGACCTTCGCTCGCTTCCGTTGAGAGAAAAGCCGCCGCGTGGTTCGGCGCGTTTGATCGAGGCGTTTGGGGAACCTCGGATTGAGAAGCCCTTGAACTCGAAGGGGAACTCGCAAAAAAAAACACCGGTAAGATTGGAAAAGGATGCAGAAGCCGGGCAGACCTTCAATCAGGAGACATTCGTCGGGATCGGAGTCAAGTTTTCGTACTGCAGGCCAGCAGGTTGCCTGGGGAAGAGCCAGATGACAAGGCCCTGGTTGCCTTCGCTTCTGGACGGGTGCATGTGGATTGCTCGGGCAGATGCGGTCAGTGGGTCAGATGGGATGTGGAGAGCCCAGGAAGAACAGTTGGGAAGTGTGGCTGGGAGCAAGATAGAGGCGCAGGCAACAACAGTGTCAGGTTTCTTTTCGCTAGTCTTACGCAAGAGCCAGTCGACCGCTGCAGGCGGTAGACGGAAGAGCAGCGGACGGTGCGCCTGCTATGGCCGAAAGCCAGGCTAGCTTGAATATGCACTTCCGTTCTTGCGCAGATCCGGAAGCATATTCCGACACAGTCCCTAGAGCAAGCAGGAGCCGGCGTGCTCCGCTGGCAACAGTACTAAATCGATTGGAAACTCAGTCCCAAATCTCAAAAGGAAGCTCCAGCAATACTAAATCAAATGGAGACTCAAGTCTGCCAATACTAAATCTAATTGAAACTCATCCAAGTTCCACCCAGACCCCCAGGACTCACCTACAGAGGGTCCCGGTGACTGGTTCCACTGTTCCAGGTGGGGGGTCACATTAAAGAGGGTCCAACATGAAGCGACAGCGCAGCGCAGAGGCGGAACATGCCTGAATATTTGCTAGCGAGCGACCGCCAGCTCTGGTGTGTGTGTGTGTGTGTGTGTTTTTTTCGTGCGTGAGTGCGCGCGCGCTGAGACTTTGGTCAGGGCCCGAGCAAGGCGAAGCCCGCCAGTGGGGGCCTCGATCACTGCTGAGTGGCTCGTGGCCTTTGCAGCGCTGGTGTGCGGCCAGGCAAGGCCAAAGCCAAGGCAAAGGGAAAGGGAAAGGCAAAAGCAGCAGATGACTCACGCGAGGCGACGTGTTGGGTCAGTCACAGCATTGTCAGTTGTCACGAAATCAACAGCACGGATCAGATGTCCACTGGTAGCGGCGCAGGCGCGACCGGCGAAGAGGCAACGCAAAGCAAATTCAGAGGAGGGCGCCCCCCCCGACACGTCTGGTTGGGAAGCAGTTGCGGCCTGTGGCAACTGTGTGGCCAATGCGATTTGCCAGGAAAAGATGCTGGAAGAACAAGCCGAGGACAGCCAGCTGAGCACGCAGCAGTGGTCAGCCAGCTGCGGCATTGTGTTTGCGAGGTTCCAGCGGTGAGTGCCAAGGCGAAGGCAGGTCATTGGTGCATGAATTTTTGCGCCGCCGTGCGCGATAGCGCGTTCCCTGTGGCTCCCAGTGTCCATTGCTGCTAGTGCTCGTCTAGTGCTCGTTTACTGCTCTTCTATCAGGGGTGGCTCGTGGTCTCCCTATTCTGGCGCTCGTCCAGTGCTCGTCTAGTGCTCGTCTAGTGGCCGTCTAGTGCTTGTCTTGTGTGCCCGTCTAGTGCTCGTCTAGTGCTCGTCTAGTGCTCGTCCAGTGCTCGTCTAGCGCTCGTCCAGTGCTCGTCTAGTGCTCGTCCAGTGCTCGTCTTGCACTCGTCCAGTGCTCGTCTAGTGCTGCGTCTAGTGCGCGGGGTGGCTCGCTCTCTCCCTATTCTGGCCCTCGTCCAGTGCTCGTCTAGCGCTTGTCCAGTGCTCGTCTAGTGCTCCGCCCAGCGATCGTCTAGCGCTCGTCCCGCGCTCGTTTAGCCTTCTTCGATCCCTGGCCAGTGTCTAGTACTCGACTAGTGCTCGTCCAGTGCTCGTCTCGTGCTCTGTCTAGCGCTCGTCTAGTG